TATGGCTGCTACGCCAAGGCATTGTACGGCGACAGAACGACAGATACCTTGATCCAGCGCGTTCGCCGCGACGTGTGGGGCCGCTTTGCGAGCAAGATTGCGGTTGCATTCCATGACCAGCTTGCGCGCACCGAGAACGAACCTGTCCCGGAAGTGGTGGACATCGCGTTTGCCCCAGATGATGCTCCTCGGCGCGCCTCTGCATCTGCGAACAACATCAGTGCCGGTTCATCAGGTGTGTCCGAGTGCGGGACTGAGTCGTCACGATGTGATGAAGTTGTGGACCTTATTCTGCAAAAGTACAAGCGCCAGCTTGAGGCTACCACCGGTAGTCGCGTTGGGTCCAAGAAGCCGCGCACGGCCTTTGCCCAGCAGGCGAGCAACCGCCCTTCCGCGACTCTGCTAATCGAGAGTTACTCCAAGGCACTTACTCAGGCCATCTTCGACTACAAGAACATCGGTGTAACGATGTCGCCAGACGCGCGCATCCAGCTGATCCCCGCCTTGGCCCGCACTAAGTGCCGCTTCGGTGACGATCAGCGCATCTTCGATCTTATGGAGGCAGCAACGGCGCTCCTTCGTCCGCTGCTGCTCCCCTCTGCTGCAGCTGCGAGCGTGGAACGGCTCAACTCGGTGGGCACAGACATGCTCACTCGTAAGCGCAACCGTCTTGACTCCGAAAGGATCGAGAAGATGGTGCTCACGCGCTGCTGGATCGCTGCCTCCACGAAGCTCGGTATCGACCTGTAGAGGAATATTCATTCCAAAGGTCCAGGTATTCATTCCTGACCAATATTTCGCGAAATTTCAAACACTGGGCGTAATGCTCAGTTTCCGACTTGCCTTTGTTCGCCAAAGCGCGCCCGCAACCCGCTGGTTTTTGATGATTGATGCAAAGTCGCTCACCTTCCTGACCCCACGCCACGCCCCAGATCTTCGCACCTGCGATACAGATGCAGGGTATGGCTAGGCTCTATCTGCTCTCCTGGCATGGGGTATGTCTTTGCTCAAAAAGCATGCGCTCGGGTGCATTTCCGCGCGCTGGCTCGTCTTGCTCATGCCCCACTCTATGTAGAAGTATGCGTCCCATGGGACACGATCTCACGATCTGACGGAACGACTAAAGCCGTACATCGCTCCTCCTCCTCCCCCCCCCACACACATCACCAGCCAATCCACGCGACTGTGGACACCCTCCCCCCTCAGCGGCTAGGCTACCTTATTTCGGCACCCGGTACCTTGCGGCTCAGCAGCTGATTATTACACTGAAACACAAAGGTGCGCGCGCCGTCTCACCCTTCAAGCAGGTGCTTGTGGCGCCGACACAAAGATCGCGGTGCGCCTGCAGTGTGCATGCAGTGTGCATGCAGTGCGCCTGCGGTACACCTACGTCACGCAGAGCAATTGCCGCCGACGTGACACACTCGCTACGCTCGATACCCTAGCTGGCCGTCATACCCTGGCTATCCCCCAGCACTCTCACCACACCGCTCGCCAAGCCACCATTTGGCGCCAACCAACCAACCAACCAACCAACCAACCAACCAACCAACCAACCAACCAACCAACCACCGCCACCACCGCCACCACCGCCACCGCCACCACCACACCTCTCCGCACGCTCCGCACGCCTCACATAACGTCACAACCGGTGGCGAGATGGACTTTTCCCCGTCTGTGCGGTGCTCGTCGGCCGGCGCGGTAGCCGTGGCCGCCGACGGGCGGCATGTGGCAGCGGCGTACGCCAACAAGGTCGCCGTCCACGCCCTGCCCTCGCTCGAGCTCGTCGCCGAGCACGCCATGCCCGACAAGGTGACGAGCGTCGGCTTCTCGCCCGATGGCGAGCTGCTCGCTGCGCTGTCCAAGCCCGCGGGCGTCGGCTGTGTCTGGGCTCTGGCCGATCCCGAGTGGAAGGCTGCGCTCGACGAGGGCGGCGTCCCGCTGGCCGCCCTGGCCTGGGCGCCCGATGCCCGCCACATACTCTCCATTGCCGAGTACGGCCTGCGTGTGTGCGTGTGGTCGCTCCACGATGGCGCCTCGCACTCGGTCGCCTTCCCCAAGATCTGCCCGCGCGCCTCGCCGCTCGAGCCGCCGGCCGCCGACGCCGATGCCGGCGCCCTGGCCGCCGGCGCCCGCCTCGTCGCCGCCTTCTCGCCCGACGGCCAGTGGTTCGCTGTTGTCACACGCGTCGACGCCGCCGACAAACTTCTTGTTCTGGACACCACGGCCTGGGACGTCGTTGCCGCCTGGGAGCCGGCCACCGCAGACACTGCCACCGTCACCTGGGCGCCCGACGGCTCCGTCATCGCCCTCGTCGACTCAGTCCTCGACTACCGCGTCGCCCTCTACACTCCAGATGGCTCGCTGCTTGCATCCTACTCGGCCTACGACTCGGGCCTGGGCGTCAAGGCCGCCCAGTGGTCGCCGTCGTCGCAGCTGCTCGCCCTCGGCTCGGGCGACGGCAAAGTCCGCCTCCTCAACCATCTCACCTGGACCTGCCTCGCAGAGCTCGACCACCCGCAGTCTGTAGACGACGACGCCGTCGTTGTCTTCCGCGAGCTTCCGTCGCCGCCCGACGCCCTGGCGTCGGGCGCCCCGGCCTCGCAGTTTGTCGTCGCCGACATGCCGGCCGCCCTCGCTTCCGCCGCAAAGCCGTCGTCGGCCAAGGCCGCCCTCGCCACGGTCGGCGTCTCGCTCGCCGGCTACTCGGCCTGCGGTCGCCTGCTGGCCTCGCGCCCAAACGCCGCCCCACGCCTCCTCTACATCTGGGACCTGACCACCCTCTCGCTCCTGGCCGTTCTCGAGCTTGCCGCTCCGATCCGCGCCGTCGCCTGGGACCCGGTCGCCACCCGCCTCGCCCTCGGCTGCGCCTCGCCCTCTCTGTACCTGTGGTCCCCCGGCGGCGCCTCGTGCGTCCAAATCCCCGAAGCCGCTGGCTCCGCCGCCGTCGTCGCCGTCCGCAAGCTCGCCTGGACTCCCGACGGCTCCACTCTCATCGTCAGCGACAACTCGGGCTGGTGTGCCTGCTTTCCCGCTCCAAGCTCCGAGTAAATCTACCTGTGTCTTATTGCTTCTTGCCACTTGCTTTGCTCCGCACCGGCTGCTTGCGCGATCGCGCACCGCGCCTCGCCACGCGGACGCCGCGGGCCGGCACCGGCTCGAGCACAATCGAGTGCTCGCCCGGCGAGACGAGCGCAACCCGGACCCAGAGCTCGTCGCCCACGCTTGGGAGCGCCTTGCCCGGCCACGCGTGCGGTGCCCCGAGGTCGGCCGACGCCT